TTTTGATTTGGTAACTTGGTAAACGGCGGAATTGTTTTTTGCTTAGTTTTAAAATTCAAAGTTTAGTTGATTGACTTGTTAAGATTACTCCCTTTGTATAAATTATAAAATTATAAATAGCTTCAAAGCTAGAAGAATATACGTTACTAGCTTGGGGACCCAGCGTTTCCCAGGGTAGTCATAGTCTCTCCCGCCGTTTATCACTTCGTCGATTTAACCGAGAAACTAAAATTTCGACTCAACTTAGAATCTTTAAAAAAGCTAAATACATTCCCGCAGTTCTCCAAAGATCCCCAATAAAAATTGGAGGCAAATCGGTGCAGAGGTTCCTGAGTTATGATTGGAAAAACAAACAGAGATTACAACTTTATATTGCATAACATTGTTCAATATTTCAAAATTATTGGAATTGCAGAAATCATGTTTATAAATTTTTTCTTATAAAAACGTGCTCAGAACTGTTATGTTGTACTTCATTATAATTGTGCACATTCTTTTTTTATTCGCATTTTTAATTCTAAATTCAATTTAAAATGCATTTCTTGTTTATTTAAAGTTTGAAGAGCTGCATTCTTAAAGTTGAATTAAGTTAGTTATGTGTTTTCTGGAATAGATTTAGTTTCAGAAAGAAAGAGACTGTTCACTTTTTAGATTTGAAGGGGCTGTAGAATAATTAAAAATGTATTTAATTTTTTTTCTTATGTTTTCGACACACAGGGATAGCACAGCAATTATATATGTCCTTAAAAGTTATATTCCCAACGCACTGCATTATTTTTATCTATCTATCTATATATAAATTTGCCTTGTCTGTTTGTTTGTTTGTATCAAATAAACGTCAAAACGACTGAACCGATCGGGCCCACATTTTTTGTGGGACATCACGTGACCGCAGGGAAGGTTTATGAATAAATGTTTAAAAAAATGTGTTTTAAAGGTTTTTAATTTTGTAAAAAAAATTTAAATTCTTGAAAATCCGCGAATTTTTTTTTTAAAATCCGCAAAATTTTTTTCTTCTCTGTTTTAAAATGTAAACAAAAAGAACATATTCACAATTTAAATAGAAGATGGGCGCGAAGCGCCCTAAAAGCCTAGTTTATATATATTTAGCTTGTCTGTTTGTTTGTATTTAATAAACGTCAAAACGGCAGAACTGATCGGGCCCAAATTTTGTGTGAGGCCTCACGTGACCCCAGGGAAGGTTTATGAATGATCAAAATTTTAAAAAAATTTTATTTGTGTAAAATTTTGAAAATGCGCAAAAAAATGTCATTGTTTTTGTTTTATACTGTACAAAGAGGAGACGCTCATAGATAAAGCCATAATTAAAAGGTGAAATAGACACGGGCGCAAAGCGCTCTAAAAGCCTAGAATGTATAAAGCTGTAATCTCTGTTTGTCTGTCTACTTTTTTCCCGATCATAACTCAGGAACTTCTTGACTAACTTACCTTAAATCTCGATTAAGTAGAACTACAGGAATACTCCTGGCTTGCTATAAAAGCTGGGAACCCAGCTTTGCCTGGAAATTTAAATTTTCTCTAAAAAAGTGGATCAACTCTACCTAGCATTTTAAAACCAAGCTAAGAACATTTTCGTAGTTTTACAGAAGTCCAAAATTTGATGAATATCACGTGGGGTTTATGAATTATGATCAGGTATACAAACAGAGTTTACTACTTTATATAATTCTTCTGGCTTCGTTGAATAAAAATTCAAGAAATGTTTTCAATTGTACTGCTAGCAACCTTATAAACTGCAATTGTACTGCTAGCAACCTTATAAACTACAATTGTACTGCTAGCAACCTTATAAACTGCAATTGTACTGCTAGCAACCTTATTAACTGCAAGCAAGCTAGACCGTAGACAGAGAAGGTAAAATGTATGCGACCTTACGTAGCTGATATAGGTTTGATTTTCCGCCGTACAAGAAATCCATTTTAAATATTAGAAATTCAAAACACTTTCGTTTTTCTTGATAGCTCTTCAAGAGATCAGGAGTTATGATTGAAAACATAAAAGATTTTAATCTTACGTGATATTTACTTTAGTTTGACGTGCATATCAATTAAACTTCTCATTGAGTTTGATTTTACTATTGGGCACACTGTTCCCTATAATTTTCATGGAAACCAGATCCGTGTTTAGTATTATTATTATCTTCATTAAAGCAGGGGGCAGGGGCGAATACATAGAGATGCATTGGATGTTGACCCCCCCCCCCCTCCTTGGATAGGTTCAAACTATGGTTTCCGGGGGGGGGGGGGGGGAGTCTGAGCCCCATCCTAAAGATGTAACCCCCCATCTATTATGCGCCCCTGCCTATAGGAGTATACCTAGTAATACAATTATTCTGGTTCTAGGTAATTTAAACATAAAAATCATTATCTCCAAATGTAGATTTATTAAACTTGCATTATCTATATAATAAAACAAGACATTCGTATATATATATGTTGCCTATAGCTAGCCAAATGGCTAGACCGATTGGGTTGAAATTTTTTGTAGACACTCATGGGCAGCCGGGGGGTGTTACGGGCTAAAAAAATCGAAATTTTTTTTCAATTTTTTTCTCAATTTTTTTTTTAATTTCTGTTCCACGGGCAACGCCGGACTGTTCAGATAGTCATTCATGAAAAGGAAAAAAATATGATTACTAAGAAATATTTTGCTTTCTGTGTCTTTATTTCCCTTTCTGTGCTATGGATAAAATATTCTTTAGTTTGTTTTTTAGTTATCGTAATAATTCAAAGGACTTATTTTATTGAATTTATTAGTTGTATTATGTATGTAATATTTTTTTCTTCTCATTATAAAAGTATAGGGCCTTGTCAAATAACGCACGAAAGAAACAACTTGAAAGCAACTTTTTAATGCTAAAACTGTTGCTGAAAAATGGCCGTTATTTTAAAATAACTGTTATGTTTAAAAAAAGAGAAAAGTATAACCATGATGTAACAGTAACCCTATCACATTCAGAAGCGTATAGAAATACGCTGGGGTCGATCAAATTCAATTTTACCTATGCAAGATATTTTGCAAATATTTTCAGATGATATAAATTTGCAATTAGAATTAAATTCAATTATACTGGTTAGGAAACCCTGCTTTGCCTGCTAAGAATATAACCCTTCCTTTAACGAATTCTTCGATCATAATTTGATGTATATCTGGCAACAACAAAACCAAGTAGACAAACAGAGATTACGACTTTTATAAATAATTTATAGATATAGACGTTCAAAATTGCGTATTTTCTGTATTTCCTCTGCTGGTTATTTGATCAGAAAACTGTCGGAAGAACACTGAATTGTTAACCTGGAGTTTTATTCGCTTTATATATTCCTGAATACATTCTTGGGAGTAAACAAGATTCAGTCAACAGGAGCCTTTTATTCTAAACCATCCAGAGGGGACACACCCCCCTGTATACATTCATAACTACCCTAGCGTTCATTTTTCTACACCCTCCCCCCCTTTCTCGCCCTCCCTCAGTCACATATAGGAATACAAGGTAAGCTAAATTTAGCAAATTAAAAAGTTGTTAATTACATAGAATAAAGATCAATATCCTTTGTCAATAAGACTTTTCCTGATAAGATTTGTACGCAAATGTTATACCATAAGTTGTTGCATTTTTATTTAGGAAACAGAATTAAACAAACCACAGAAAAACAAAACCACTATTTACCTGCAGGAACAGTTTACGGCAAACGCACTAAAAGAAAGAAAAAGCAAGAAAGTAAGATATACTGTCATTCCATGTGGCTGTTACAACTTTAAAAAAATTATGTATGCCTTTTAAAATATTTAAATTTTCATAAAAAGTTAAACCTGATTCAAAAAAATACTTTTAGTGTTTTTTTAAATACATTTTTTAGGTTTTACCTTTTATAAAAGACAAACAACAACTTCCCTCTTTATATTATTCAGCATTTTAGTTTTAGAATTATGTACTTTTCCATTTTGATTGTCATTTATAGCTTTTCAAAGATGTTCTTTTATTGTTGCAGTAAATCAATCTTGAACAACAGCTGTTTTTGAAATTAAAAAACTGAAGAAAACAATTTTAGATTATGTTTGTTATATATTAAAGTTTTTACAAATACATTTCATGCACCATTTTCCTTGCCAAAAACTAAATTTCATACGTTCGGTGGAAGGCGATTTTATCAATTTTAGTTATTTCCACATTTTATTGAAAATATATTATTAAAAGGTAACAATCAATTAAAATTTTGTTTAGGCAAAAAAAATTAATTTTTCTGAATAAACATGTTAAGAATATATACTATACGATCGCTACAGGCTACTTGGACTGAAATTTGCGATTTTTTCCTGCAAATGTCTTAGCAAAAACAGTAATAAAAAGGTTTAGCAGAGAACTTTTTCAATTTTCGATTTTAAAGTATACCCTTTTTAAACGGTCGAATGAATTTTCACATCTTACTCAAAAACCCTGGGAGCAACTCCACAACCCTGGGAGCAACTCCAAAATCCTAGGAGCACTCCACAACCCTGGGAGCACTCCAAAACCCTGGGAGCAATTCTAAAACCCTGGGAGCAATTCCAAAACCCTGAGAGCAACCACCCCTCCCTCACTGATCAAGTTTTCCTTATTTATCTAAACAAACGCCTTTGTTTCATTTTTGACACTTCGTTTGCCAGTTATTTTATATTATAAAGAATTTCAAAACCCGCTTTGGACATAAAAATTCTAGAGTTCACACCGTTTTGGGGTTAAAGGGTTCCGTTGTGAATCAGAGATGTCCTTCTTTAAAGGCCATTTGAAATTACATTTACAGTCTCTTTATGTCAAAAGAACTCTTTTTTCCATCTAAAGTATTAAAAGTCTGGTTTTTTTTTGACAAGCATGTTATTTATGAGAGCTAAAATGTTTGCAATGTCATACTAATTTTCAAAATATTGGCATCATATTGACATCTTGAAACAAAAGACCTGGGTTTAAATAGCTGCAATCCCAGAGTTTTGATATCATTTGTATCTTTTCTTGGAGAAAGGTAAAGGCAACATAAGGCTTTAAATTTAAACTTTTAATAAATCTTCCAATATTTTAAAAGTGCATTCTGTTTAAATTTGCAATATTTCTAATTTCTATTATTAATAATAATTCTGACTTGATTAATATAATTGCAATTTTGATGATTTAGTTTAATTGAAAATATATTTTCGCGAAAAAAACAAATGCAAATATTTTGGGGGGGGGGGAAAAATGCGAAAATTTTGCGCAAAAAATACGGAAGAGAAATTGTTAATTAAGATATAATAAAACTTCGAATGCTGAGCTCTCAGAGCAGAGGATTCCGCAAGTATTTTTTGCAAAATCAATTGTTGCAGGTATGGTTAACGAGATATTTCGCATTTTTTCGCTTAATTCATTTTTGCTTAAAAGTTTGCAAAAAACGAACGAAAATTTTCTCATTTTTACCGACAGATTTGTTCGGAGGAAACCCCACTTCTTCTTAGATATCCCGTGTTGGTCATACCCTGCAGGAATAACTTTAAAATTTATATATATATATATATATGTATATAACATATATAACATTTTATTTTAGAAAACTAAAAAATACAAAAAAGATGAGAAAACTCCAACTTATACTTCTTTATGCAACCGGAGTCTTTTCTCAACAGTGTTCAGAGGTTTCTTTTTATTCAATCTCTTCTTATCCATATATCTTATTATATATATTATTATATATCATATTAGTCATTCTTTAGCCTCTCTTTATCCATATATCATGTCTTTAGTCTCTTTTTATCCATATATTATATCTGTAGTCTCTTCTTATCCATATATCATGTCTGTAGTCCCTTTTAATCCATATATTATATCTTTAGTCTCTTCTTATGCATATATTATATCTTTAGTCTCTTTTTATCCATATATTATATGTTTTTTTCTCTTTTTATCCATATATTATATCTTTATTCTCTTCTTATCCATATATTATGTCTATGGTCTCTTTTTATCCATATATTATATCTTTATTCTCTTCTTATCCATATATTATGTCTATAGTCTCTTTTTATCCATACATTATATCTTTATTCTCTTTTTATTTTCAAAGACGATATCAAAGTCGTCAATAAATTTCCATATTTTTCGGGACACCCTGTATGATGATTATTTTAATCTAAGGTTCTGAAAGTTAAAGCTGTTATTGAAAAATTATATAAAAAATATTTTAAGGTGCTTGAGCCACTAGGTTTAAAGGATGCAGAAGCACTTGCAGCTCATGGAAGCCATTCTCTAACCCTGAACATGATTCAATACTTCTTCAATCCGAAGGCAGCTGTAGACAATGGTATTCCAACTGTTAACCTCAACAGATGGTAACCACAGATTCATAAATTTTATTTGTTCCAACTTGAGTGCCCGGCGTTGCCCGTGGAATTAAAAAACAATTTTTAAAAAATCGATTTTTAGGAAGAAAAGAAATTCAAATTTTGTTAAGCCTATGTTACCCCTTTGGATACCCATTGGTTCCCAAAAAAATCCGCCCATTCTTTTAAGCAGTTTAGCTAGCCATGGCTGACATATATATATATGATATATATTTGAGCAAAGAGCTTTATTATATAGCTAGATAACAATTTTGGGTGTTTCACTGTTTTTACTGATAACAACAGAATTGAATTGTTGTCCACAAACTTTAATTTTGTAATCCCTTTAGCTTTGCAACTTGATTTGTAAACCTTTGATATTTCAACCTATGTATGAATTCTGTTAGATTAAATAGTCTAAGTTTAAAATATGAAAGATTCACACCATCAGGTTACAATAATATAGGAATTAGAAAAGTTGAATTCCTGGCAAAAACTCAATTTCTTTAAGTTCAATCTACAATATTTTAAGTCAGGTTACAAAAATTATTCTCAATTATTTTTAAAACTTAACTGGTAAAATATAGAAACATACACAAATGTTTTTAGTGAGATGCATGATTTGCATGAGAATGCTCCGTACAGCACAATGAAAAACAGGTATAAAGTCTTAAATCGACCTTCTTAAAAAAAAGAATTTATCATGTTATTTTTTAGCTTTGACAATCCTGCTTTCTTCGCCCTGGACAACATTCTCAGTAACATGGATCATGAAGAGTATGGGATCATGAATGCAAACACATTGGATCGTATAGCTCATGATCTGCATATGATCCATATGTGGGAAGGAGCTGCTTTGTATTATCAGGCTCTAGTGACAGCTCCTCCTAAACCTGATATTTGCAGTTGTTTTTTATCAACTTATTTAGAGGCGATCAAAGCTAACCTAGAATTCATAGCAAAGGAAATTAGGATCCCCAATCAACTCTCTGCTCAAAACAACAAAGGTGTGAAGAAAGGTGGTAACGAGCGTGCTCACTATCTCGGAGAATATCTTGGAATATATCTTGGAAGATACATTGGAGTTTACACCCTTGAATCAAGAACGATCAATGAGAAACGTTCTGGAAATGAGACAGCTATCAAGAAGAAAGGAGGTGCTGATGATCACAAGCTGGATCTGTACAGTGGGAATATTGTGGATGAGAAGAGCTGGGCTAAATGGAAGGAAATGATGCAGGATCCAGACTCTCAATACATGGAGAATATGGGGAGGAGTTTATCCCTCTATTTGTACTGTCAATTGGAGAAATAATTGTTTTATGTTAAATTCAAATTGATTTCATCAAATTTTTGAATATAAACAACATTTTTGCATTAACCAAAACTTTTTAAAAGATAATGATAGATTTCTTTGAACGGACTAAATGCAAATATACATGCTCAGAGAAGACAGATACGTTTTCTGATCCATTTCCATTTTCAATCTAATTTTTGTTATTCAAAAAATTTAAGAAAACGAATTCAACCCGGCTTTACCTCTATCTTTCGATTGATCTTAAGACGGCTTGGATCTAAATCTATGTTTAGCTTACCCTCCCTCCCCTTCGAAAAATGCCATGTATGTAAAGGAATGCAGAAACAGTTCATGTTTATAGCCCAATTTTTAAGACTGCAGGCCTGAAGTAAATACCCTACTCCAGAACGGTTTCTTTCTAATACGTATCTATCCAGGTACAATTCAGTTTCACTTGGCTATCAATGTCTAAACCAAGATACAATCTCGTCAGCTATCAATTTCAACCAGGACACCAGCACGTAACTATCAATGTCTCAACTAGGACACAATTTCGTTAACTATCAATATCCCAACTAGGACACGATCTTGAGATATCAATGCCTCAACTAGGACACAATCTTGTAAACTGTCAATGCCTCAACTAGTACACAATCTCGTAAACTATCAATGCCTCAACTAGGACACAATCTCGTAAACTATCAATGCCTCAACTAGGACACAATCTCGTAAACTATCAATGTCTCAACTAGGACACAATCTCGTAAACTATCAATGCCTCAACTAGGACACGATCTCGTAAACTATCAATGCCTCAACTAGGACACGATCTTCAACTCATTCTTGTTAGATTAAGGACATGATTACTCTCTCGCATTAATCAGTACAGAGTCTCTATATTAACTGATGTATTTGAGGTTTATATGTTACAAGTTGAAGTTAATAGACGTAATTACTATTCCTACATCATTATCTATATCACATGATTAAGACAATCACTTTTCGCATATCCAACACTGTTGAAATAGGCGCAATTAAGATGTACGTCATTATATATATCATATGATTATACTAATCATGCTGCGTATCTATTCGAAGCGCAGTACCAATGAATAATGGGTTTTACTTATAAGCTAATGATGTACAACGTAGTTCAGGTTTACAGAATATTGTGTTACCCGATATTTATTACAGGCCATTAAAAAATTTATAACATGCCGGTTTTAAGAAGTGGCATAAAAATATGATAGTAAACTGTAAAAAATTAACAATTAAGTTTTTGCCAAATTTTACGACGTGATGCATTGACACATGTTTTTACATCAATATTTTCAAGGGCTTTTCTAAAATTGTAAATTTTAGATTTGTAAATCAGAATTCAAAATTGTGGGCATTTTCATTTTTTAAATTACACCGATGCCTTTCGACCTTTAAGTACGCAATGCATTTTTTATTAGAACTTTTACAAATTAGAAAAAAAATATATTTCTTAAAAGTCAAAAAGTGTCAAAAATTAGAGTACACAACTGTAGTATCAAACGGATATATCAGGATATCAGTTTATTAGAGTACACAACTGTAGTATCAAACAGATATTTCAGGATATCTGTTTGAATTAGAGTACACAACTGTAGTATAAAACAGATAGCCTATATCAGGATATCTGTTTATTAGAGTACGTAACTGTAGTATCAAACAGATATATCAGGATATCTGTTTGAAATAGAGTACACAACTGTAGTATCAAGCAGATAGCCTATATCAGGATATCTGTATATTAGAGTGCACAACTGTTGTATCAAACAGATATATCAGGATATCTGTTTAAATTAGAGTACACAACTGTAGTATCAAACAGATAGCCTATATTAGGATATCTGTTTATTATAGTACGCAACAGTAGTATCAAACAGATATATCAAGATATCTGTTTGAATTAGAGTACACAACTGTAGTATCAAACAGATATATCAGGATATCTGTTTATTAGAGTACACAACTTTAGTATCAAACAGATATATCAGGATATCTGTTTGAATCAGAGTACACAACTGTAGTATCAAGCAGAAAGCCTATATCAGGATATCTGTTTATTAGAGTGCACAACTGTAGTATCAAACAGATGATTCACCGACAAAGGGTCAAACGACCCAGGGTCAAACGACACAGGGTCAAACGACAAAGGGTCAAACGACAATCCTTTGTCGTTTGACCCTGTGTCGTTTGACCCTGGGTCGTTTGACCCTTTGTCGGTGAATCAAACAGATATATCAGGATATCTGTTTGAATTGAGTATGTTGAATCTCTAATGACAGTTAATAATATGATATTAGTCCAGAAGCCCAACTATGATCACAAAGATATAAAGAAACAGAATATCTGCTCTTACATCGGGTTAAAGCAACATAATAAAGCTGTGGATATTAGGGTACAGCTCTACCGGGGGTTAACCCGTACTAGCGCTACCGTGTGTACATTGAACAAAATATACTAAGTGGGTTGATGTTGATGTATTTGATTTTAATGATATAATAAGGTATGTATGTCGACTACATCATACTATCTATTTATCTTACAGGGTTACCCATAAAGAATGAGAAATAAGAGACGACTGTACTGAATTTACACTGCCCATTTACTTTTATTTGTGATTCACTGCACGCAGTTAACTTGTTTCTTTCGTTGTCCAATCATTAAAAATACCACCAAAACACTTTACTTGAGGTAAAGGACTTAATTTAACCTTGGAATTTTTATATTTCAGAAATTTTAGGTCGTCGTCACAGTCGCATCGACCATAGGACACAGTGTTAAAATATTTGCTTTTTACAACATCTAATACACTTTAAACATTGTTTTAATATTAGCTTAATGCAGTTTCACAGTTTTTGTAATCTTGTTATTTTTGTATTTTTTATACTATATAGTATATACAGGGTTACCCACAAAGGATGAGACTTTTTCTATCTTTTCAAAATCATAAGGTCGTCTTTACAGTCTCATCCTTTTTGGGTAACCCTGTATGTACTAAAATAATTCTTTGTCGGTATTGGTATTATGTGTGTTGTTATATCTTGTCCATGTAGGAGGCTTGGGATTTCAAAAATGTGGTCATACAGTTTTTGTACTTCAAAATAGATGGAAATATTATGAAAGGAATTGAGTCTTTGCCACAAATTCAGTTCTTGTAATACCTATATCTCTGTAACCTTATGATGTAAACCTTTGATATTTCAAACTTACATTATTTATCCAATAGCATTCATAGTTTGAAATATTAAAGGTCTACGACATTGGGTTGCAACGATATTGAAATTAGAAATTCAGAGTTTGTTACAAAAACTCAATTACTTTGTCCCATTTTCCATGGCACAGAAAATTATATGTCTTATAAAATTCATAAATTAAGAGTCGAACTAGACTTTAAAGAGTAAATTCATAAAATGTAAGACCTTTTTTAATTCTATCTTTCTCATTATCAAATATCAAAAACAAAAACGAAATCAGTTGGGTCACTCTGCATGTGCAAAAAACCATTTTTGTCTTAGAAAAACTTCTTTGAAAACTGTTGTAAACTTGAGTATATTTCATCATTAAGTTTCTAAAAATTATCAAAACGTTTGCAGAAAAGAAGAACATTAAATATATGGCATTTTAAGATTATATACAAAGCAATTTATTCATTATTTTTCAATATTTGTGTGTTTTTCTTAGATAAAATCTGTGCTTAAAACTTCATTGCAACATAAAGTTTATTTTTCTAAATTATATACAATTTAATAAATAATAGAATGTTTTCTTGACAATTTTTCCATGGGTTTTATTATTCTGAATGTTGTACCTAAATATTAGCAATTTTGAATAAAAAACCATAAAATATGCGGGAACAGCTTTACAGAGCTCCATATGATTATTTTATTAAAAAACTAAATATAGCTATATAATAATGCAAAAATGCTGTTTTCTCCCTCTAGGAACTACTCTGGGTCAATCTATTCTGTGATTCGAATCAGCTGATCTTCACTGCTGTAATGGCGACCGGCAAAAGAATACAGTTCGTCCATTTCTCTGTTCCTAAAACAGATAATTTCCATTTGAAGAATCTTTCATTGAAGAGACCGCCGCTTAAAATTAGAAAATTTGTGGCAAGTTTGTGGTAGGAACTCAATATCATTGCTGTCTGATTGAAATTCAAATACCAGATTTTGATAATATTAAAAAGTGTTTTGATATTATTTTTGTTAAAATCATTATTTTAAAGGGTATTGAATGTCTTGAATATTTCCTCAATAATCTTGAATTTAGATTTTAGATAAATATATTTAACTACAGTCAAGATACCTAGCTTTTAACAAAATTATTTGATAAAATGTTCGCTAACTAAAGGAGTTGAGTTTTTGTCACAAACTCTGATTTTCTAATCTCTATATCTATGTAACCCAATGTCGTAGACCTTAGATATTTCAAACTATTAATACCTATAGATAAAATAATCTAGATTTGAAATATCAAAGGTTTGCACCATCTGGTTGTAAAGATATTGGGATCAGAAGATGTGAGTTTGTGGCAAAAACTCAATTCCTTTGTGTTAAATTTTGTTTTGATAAACATTTTCTACAGAAGACAAAGTTTTCCTGAAGCTGTTGATTGAAGACATTTTATTATGTACATAACAATGTAAGTAATAATCTCTGTTAAAATCTTTAATATATCCTGTAATTTAGGTTTGAATAAAAAGTATTGTCCGTTTATGTTCTTTATTACTTGATGTTAATTCAACCTACGTTGTAAACGGTTTTTGAAATTAAAAGTTTCAAGATAAAAACTTTATTCTTTATGTTTAAATACAAATAGTCGATTTAACAATTGTTTACGGCTGTGTTGCAAACATTGTGCCCAGTCCCATTCATTTTGTTTTTTGAATAGACTTAGGGGGAAAAACATCAAATGAAAGTTTTTCGGCCAAAAAAATCTAACCTTGGCTGACATGGACAATAGTGAGAAACTATGAGAGGAATTAAAACCAAGCAGAATAGCAAACCACACCCTAAAACATGATTTTGAAATCAATTTAGAAAAGAGAAATAAGTCAGTCTTTTTGTAAAGGACGAAGGGTACTAGTGTAAATTTTAGTCTTGCAGACGTCCGAATTCTCCGCATTGCGCGTCAATTCAGACGTTAAATAACCGTCAGCGGGTTTGGTTGGGTTTAGTCTTCTTGTAATGAGGGGGGGGGCTAAAACCAAAAAGTAAAATGATTAAGTAAATATTTGAAATAATTAAAGGACAAACTAATATTAGAAAATTTTTCAATCCATCTTTGTAACCTAATGTTGTAGATCTTTGAAATTTAAAACTAAGAATCATCTTCAAATCTTTAAATCATATAAACTAAGCTTGGAATTTTAAGGGTTCACACGTCTCCAGGTTTCAAAGATTTAAGAATTAGGAAAATTTGAGTTTGTGGCAAAGACACGAATTAGTTGTATCTGAAAAAGCTCTGTATATTACCTGTCAATATCAAAGCCGGACCTAAAACCAAAAATTGAACTTTTATCGTTGAAGAAAAATCTTCCAAAAAAATGGAAGAAAACATATATTTATTTTTTATGTTTAAGATTAAAAATTCAAATATCCTTTGACAGACGTTGTTTCTGACGCTGGTTCAGGAGATGTAGAAGAAAATGTAGATGTTGTACCTAGGAAAAGATTATTGTAGACAAAAAAAATAAATTTAAAAATAACAGAATTCTCAAAATTAATGGAAAACGAAGAGACGGCAAAAGCTGATCGAATTAAAAAGGCCATATTTGCAATTAAAGCACCAACCACTATCGCCTAGTTAATTTACAAGCTACTTATACTAAAAAAAGCAATTATGGGTTTTGAAAATAGTGCAGTTTATATAGTGCAGTTTATATAGTGCAGTTTAT